TAATGTACCTTTTATATTATTAATTACCTGGTAGCACATCTACAAAATTTCCTCCTTCCCATATCATCTGTATTATTGCTCTAGCTCTGTGCTAGTTATGTTTTCACTACATTTATGAATTATTATTACCGATATGAATTTGGATAAAGTTAGCTATAAACATAATAGCAATTTTTTTTTACTTACTATGGTGTTGCAATCACAAATCTATTAGAACTGGCGAGATTTGATCTATGTGAACGAACTCTAAGATTCTTACGCCTTTTACCACCATTTCCACAAAAAATTTACCTTTTTTTTATTTTTTAGCTATTGATAAAATTGAGGTAAATTAATGCAAATACAGTAATTGAATAGTTAGCTACTTGTCATTATTCGCAAAATATTTAATAATATTCTAATGTAAAGGTATAAAAACTGTAAAAAAAATTGCAGCTTAAATATCGGTTTTTGTTTTTTATTTTTTCACTCTTGTACTTATATCTAAAAGTATTTGCATTATAGTTTAGAAATAGGTACAATTTTTAAACTTAACGAAAAAAATTATACGGCCATAGATTTTACTTCTTTTATACGCTAGATTTATCTTGATATATTGCTTAAATGTATAAGTATATTGTGCGGTATATGTAACATAGGCCATTAGCAATCATGCCATTTGTTCACACTCTAATAATATTTTATATAGCAAATAATTAAATACGATGGGAAAAGAATCTTGCAAGTGATATTTATTCAAGTTTTACTCTTAATTTGCGATGATCCATAGCTAGAAAATGAGATTTGATACTGCTCATATCAAGAAATTTTTTATTTCTTAACTCTAAATCGATACGGTGAAATGTATTTCTCAACTAACATTACATCTGACTACGCATAGATGCACCAGGTCATAATTATAATTAATCACGTTATATGTGATAGTATAGTACCTGGTTGGGTACATGCGTCATTTAATTGTTTGATAGAGTTTGTTTTGGCAAGTTCTTTTGAATTAGTTATGATATTATGGAGTTCTACCGTGCTAGTACAATTATTATATTTAAATTTTTCAGCTTTATTGATAGCCAATACATTTACACCTTTCTCAGTGATAAAAATACTTCCCGTTAGAATGTTATTTTCACTAGTGCATTATAAGCTTAGTTAATTAGATTTATAACAAGCATTAAAATTTCTATACTGTCGTAATATTACTGCATATATCGAATATGTATCATTCACATTTCTCGCTCAACAATGCTATCACGACCTTGGGGTTAATTATTTTAGCTTTATTTTATACCAATAATAGATGCCGATAACAAATTAGATTATACGGGTATTTTATTGTTTATCCGGACATATTGCTAACTTTTTATCCCATTAGCGCAAGGAAATTTGATTAAATATTATGTTCTCTATGGATATTGTTTGCTGGCCTTATATTGCAATCTCTAGTTAAAATATGTCATGGTGCAATAATGACTACTCTAAACCTTGATAGGTCTGATTCTTCTACAATTGATAATAATGAGACACCCTTCTAATTAGATATTTTCTACCTATACGTGTATTAGCTACCGAATTTTTGTTAATAGCTATTAGGATATAATTTGTTAAATCTAAATGCAATATAAAATAAATTAGTGATTAATTAATAAGCTTGTATCGCCTGATTGATCATATCCATGAATGATGAAAAATAAACTAAAGATAAAAGTTGAATACGTGACAGATGATCTTCTTTCCTTTAAATAATCATCCTAGTGGGCTAATATACTATCCATAATATAATAACTTTAGACAATAAGAAATCTAATACTTTCAATTTACGTGGTACTATTATTATAGTTATAAACGCCGACTTTCTAACCATAGCGATGGAATAATAAATATATGTATACAATACATCACTGAGGTAGAAGATCAATATCCTTTAGTTATCATACATTACAGTCAAAATTATTGTTAAAATGACTATCGATGGTAATAAATTTCGCATAAGGTGCGTATGCACTTTACGCTTATTGATTTACAGAAGATAGATCATATGTACAATGTATTTTTACGAACGTCGATAGAAATCTGCTGTTAATAATAAATTTGATGTCTCTAGTTACACTTGTTATTAAAAGTATTACAGTATTCATATTCCTAACATAATATTACAAACGGTATAATGCTATTAAATGTACGAAATTTCTAAGGTCGTTTTAATATTACTAATTTATTCTTAATTAGAGCCCTAATATCGCGAAACCAAAGCGATATAGAGTAAAGATTGAGACCGGAATCTTGAACTAAAAGTAGAAAGTGCAGCTGAGTTTTAAATTATATTGTGATATATAACTATTGAAATGTAAAATAATGTGATGCACAATTAGCACAAATTGTATAAAATTTCTGCCTAACAACGCAGTTGATCAAGAGATAAAAGAAAAAAAATAGTAAAATGATATCTTAAGTGTAATATCCAGTATAAAATAGTCTTTGTTTAGGGAATTGATTTTTTTTTAATATTATTGTCTTAAAAATGTCTGAATAAAGTACTGTCAAAATTATTCTACAAAATTGTTGACCAAGGCATTTGTCGTGTAATAGGATACTGTACAAAGCGAAGTAAAAATTCCATATATCGAGTCATAAATTTTACTAAAAATAAGTACAATTTATAGCTCTACATCAACACTGAATAGGCAATCAAGTTATGAATACTCTGAAGCTATGATTTAGAATCATATGTAATTTATGGTAATTTTAGCGGAGATATTATCATTGCTATAGAATTATAAATAGTATGAAGTAAGAGCAAAGATATTATCGATACAAGTAACGTAATAGCCATATTTCATAGCCAAATTAGCTAACCTTGCATATCCAATCGCGATTTGCTCTAATAAATTGCAATGTATTAGATATACGATAGCTGTAGTTCCGCTGCATAATAATTGGTGAAGTTATAGCATACTAGGGCATAAGTTTTATAGATCGACACATTTTATTGGAACTTATCTTCTTCGGTACGCAAAAGCAATTTCGGATTACGACTTTGACTAAATGGGTATCTGTCAAAATATGTATATAATCAGAAATATAGTGTTTGTCATCTTATAGAATTATTCTTATATAATTAATCTGTCGATCGTTATTTCTGCTATTAAAAATTTCGTACTGTATTAAATATATTCTTGCACAAGTAAAACTTTTCGTATTGATTGAAAGGCATAGTATTTTAAACTATAAATCTATAGGGATTAATAATAATAATATTATTGCAGCATCTAGCTGTCGTCGATTCCGATTTGATAACAGCCTGCAAATACGGGATATAAATTTAATTATAATTATTACTGTATTTAAATAAAGTACCGTACTATATCCCTGCAGATTATAGACTAAGAAAATATGGCACACATTTGCTCTTTCGAAGTATGAATAAATTATACGTCAATGTTATTACTTCGATTTTGTTGCTGTATAGAAATTACATCTAGATATTCTGTAATTGATATTGTCGGTAGCGAAGATCTGTTGTTTTCTATAATTGTCCTCATATTCAAAGCATTGTTCAGGTACTTGGATATCAGTTGTATACGTTTGTAAGTCACGTTCATAATGCAATAGAGATTTTAAAAATTTTTATCTATTTATGTAACTAGTAGATGAAATGTTAAACTACTCTAGTCAATGACTGCAGATATTTATATTATTAATTGTTGCGCTGTAGTATAGCTTTTAAAATTTACTAGTAGTAATTCTGTTATCACACATATTTTTATAAATAAATAATACCACACTTTCATAATTTTACGTGACAGTGAGTAAAATTAATTGATGCCTGCATAGCTAAAAGAACTCTAAATTAATTTGTACTTAATAGTCTAGGTTTCGTAGTTCAGTCCGAGGAGATAATTGCATTAATGATGGCCTACTGACGAATACGTTATCGTAAGTATTTTAAGCGATGCAGACTACGGTATAACAGGCATGATACTGGAAAAGGCAAATAGAATTGTAGAATCATTTTTACTCTCATTACAAGGCTCGGGTGTGCTAGGAATGCACTATAAATGTATATTGTAGTACATTAAATCTACCAGTTAGACGTCATAGGTTGAGATATCAGTCATATATAGAGTGATATTTTAAAACTTTGATTTACCTCGAAGTTTTAGTAGTAGCGTAAATGAGCATGGTAATATCCTTCCGAGAAAGTAATTGACCATTGCTACAGTTTTATATCATATCTCAAGGTATCGGTCATATCTAGAGATAGTACGTTTCAAACTTCATTTCATTACCATATTGCGGTAATAACATAAATGAGCATAGTAATATCTTTCGGAGTACATAATATAATTAACTAATAATACCTATAAAATAGTGTACAATTTCGATTTTATAGAAGTTCAGATATTGTCGCAAGAATAGCCTAGCGTATCAATGGTTGTAATGACGGGTCCGTTAAGGTTGCATGTATCTCAACTAGAAAAGCATTCTTTTGTTATGGTGCAGAGACAGGCTGATTTGACGAAAATTAGGAAAGCGATTATAACGTCAAATACTCGTATACTATCTAATTGTAAAAATAGAAAAGTTTATTATACTTAAAAATCAATAATATTTTTATCTTTGTAAAATGATTGTTTATAAATCACCCTTGACGATGAAACAAAGATGTAACTGAAAAGAATACGCACGTGACATTAAGTTAGCAAATGACGAGTAGAAATTATGGAAACTTTTACACTATTTTAGTACGAATAAGAAGTATAAACCCTGTCTCAATCACAGCAATAATCCTGCATAACATGCAAAATTAAAACACTTTTTGCATAAAGTTTACAAAGACACAATGATGTAGAAGTACTATAATAACGCTAAATATCTTTCATAAGTAAGGACACTTGTGCACTATAATTATACAGGAAATAACGCCTGTAGTCTTGCTGAAGCAATTTGACTACCAGGCTCGAAGTTATGGTTTAATGTAAGACCATAACGAAACTGTATAGCTGTTACTCATATGCCGGTGGAGATTCACTTAGAAGCTTCATCTTAGAATCTGCTACTGCAGGTCCCTATGCATAACGTAAAATACGATTCATGATAAGTTTGCATTAAAGGAAGTAATTGATTAAGAAAAGAATTAAATGGGCTCTTATGTTAATTACAAGTTCAATGTGTCTACTTGCAATCATTCCTGAGATTTAAAATACAAATTGAAAAATTATAATTTTTACCTGCAAATAATATTCCGGTTGCCCACGTAAGTTTTCGGTTATTTGCAAAAACTTGTAACATTTCCACACACATGTCGCAAAATAAAACTAAATAGTGGTTGGAGTATAAAATTTTGAGATTGGTGACGAATAGCGTGTAAAGATATGCATGTCAGTTTAATATTAGCCAAGTGAGAGAAAGGCTAAGTATATTCCTTATCATACCTTCAATAGATACAGAAATACAGTTGTTCCGATGAAAACCCCATTAAAGACAGGTTGGCTAATAGATAGTTCATCTAAATTAAAAGCTTGATATAATTCCTAATAAAATAATAAAAGATATAGGAGATATCAATCCGTGTTATTTTCTTAGCATTTACCATTTATTATTTTAAAGAATTAATAACGTTTTTCGCTTCCAGCTATACGAAGTAAGAAGGAAGTTCATGTAAGGCATAAAAACTGATAATCACGATACCACCGAGAAGCAATAGATTACAAGTCAAACCAATATCCTGATCAATAGTTTTATTACACTAGCATTTAATACGATCGCATGTAATTATTTGTTAATATTACTTTAGATTTACCTGTAATTTTAAATGCATTAATCTAAAGTCCGTAGCGTAATAGACCGTGCTAATGGTAGCAAGACCCAAATCGAAAACTTGGACACAAAAGAAAGGCAATAGTAATCCGGGCCGGTGCTAATACAGACAAAGCAATTTAAGTATGGCATTTTAGTAAAACTAGCTGCTTTTCGTTTAACAAAAAGAGCAAAATAAAAGCAGGATCATCATGGAAGAAGTTGCAACGAAAGAAATGCTCTCGTATCGCAGTCGAAGCTATACGGTCTATAGAATAGCTTGAGCGGCAATTCGGACGATTACATGGAATGCAAAAACTTATTTAAAACTACGACTTCTAAATTAAATCGCTCTCTTTAAGATAACTATGACAACAACTGATTACGACATACACTGTAAACAATATTTAGTAATTAAATCATTTTTTTAATCGTCAACCTATACTGTACACTTACCTTTCGAGTTCCATGTAATAATGATGCGGATATGAAGATTAACGCAACAGCCAATGTTATAGTCATAGCAGCATAGGCTTTAATAGCAAGGCATCAATCATAATAAATGGGCAAAAAAATTAAATATTAGTATTTCAGTCAAAATTTGGCCGTATCGAGATTGAGCAAATCAACAATTCATTCATTGGTTTTAGTTGGTGTGTAAGCATACAACCGTCAATGACTATGCTACAACAGGATCACGTTATACGGTCATTGGAGGCAAATTGTATAAAGTGCCGTGACCAAGCTAGACTTACTCGGAGTAATTTGAAGTTTTGATTCAATATCGAATAGATCTTTCGCAACTAAAGCATAGATGGTTGCGGCGATGACAATAACATTCAGTATCTACAGCATTAAATATAGAAAAGTTAGTAAATGGAACACTTACAGGCAGTGTGCTCCATTTCTAAATAATTACATCCCTTTCTTAACCTATTAACATGTACGCGTACAGTATACTCGTATATATATATATATATTATTTGGATCGTATGATAAGATGGAAGCACTAAAAGATTAATACTTAAAACGTAAAAACGGTATCTACAAGTGCCTTTATAAATGGTGCAACTTAGCTACTGTAACGTCAGAAAATTGTTATTGATAATTAATTCACTTCTTAGACTACTGAGCAAACATCTAGCTGTCCATGACTAGCTAGAAGGCTTCCTCGTTGTCGAAAACTCAAGGTAGATACAATGTTACGCTATTGCAGATTTTTACTTTCTTGCCAGTTCTCTATGTTGATAATATAATATTATAACGTCAATAAATGATGCCAGTTGACCAAGCTTTGTATATACTTATTTCGGCAGTATCAAAGGATTACTGTACAGTACTGTACTTATGAGTTTTACTGAAGCAATAGTTGAGGAGGATAATTTATGCAGAAAAGAATCAAATCTACTTTACTCCCTTAGCCGATAAAATATTAAGGGACATGAATTTCATTATTTGGTTGTATCTATATCAGAGATTCTATTAATCATTGAGGAAAAATTTCAATGATTATTCATGGGTGTTTGAATTTTTCTGCAAACTATCTGTTTTACTATACATTGCTCTATACGGTATAGCTAAGTAAACAGTATAGTACTGTACAGTAGTATTGGGTACCGTAGAAGTAAGACTTGTGCTTGGAGTCTTTCTGCTATTTTCGTTCAAACCAGTATCGGATCCAACATGATTTCAAGCATGTTGTGTGTAGTTTCAGGGACTACAAGTAGTTCCTGATAGTAATTACAAGTGAGAAGAATTTTCATCACTTTTTCTCGATACTTGGAGTCGATCATACTGTTCCATACTGTAGCACTTTCCTGTGTCGCGATCAACTGATCGCACCATTTTTTCATCTCTCATCGATTGCAAATGGGTAAGGCTGAATTTGATCGAAACGAGTCTGAGGTAGTACGATGTACGATAGATTGAAAAATTTCTATGGAATATGCACTAGCGAAACAGTAGATAAAGTAGTAAGATTTTAGATGTAACAATAATTCGCGATAGAAAGAAAACACTGTACTGTATATATAGTACTTTTAGTACTTAATATCGCATGGAAGATACCAGCGCTTTATAGTATACTCTACACTATAGTGTTATATATCAATGTTATTAATATAGTATGGGTCATTGAGTAGATGTAGCGAGTGGTAAGTCACTAAGATACAGTATTTTAGAGCTAAAGTATAGTTGAGTAGGTTGTTCGATCAATTCAATGTACGTATAAAGACTATCAATGATATTAATGTAGTACAATCCTGTAACCATGTAGACTGTATGAGTTGGGTTAAGCCTACACTATGTGATATGTACGGCCTGTTGTCAGAATTGGATGGCAACAATCGAAGGATTACAAAAGTTACGAGTATACGATCAATCGGCTTGGTCAGAGACTGTTTGGAATCATGATCACAGGACTATATAGTGTACGTATATTACAGAGATGACTATAAAGTGTCCAATCCAAGGCAATCCATTCCTTTTTTCTGTTGATACACGCACTGCATCCATAATTTACAATAATAATCATCATAATAATAAATAATGCGTAATAATACCAAGTACGTTGGAGCTGACTGTTTCTTTCCCTTACTGTAATCCGAACTCAAATCATTCATCGGAAACACTATAGAGTATCATCACTGCGCTGACTGGCAATGTACTTTCATCCATAGTTAGTTGATGCAAGAAAAAAAACTACAGTAGGGATACTGGTTTGCCTTGTTTAACGCATTGCTACAAGTTGAATGACGAAGAAGAGAACAACAACTACTACGAGTTGAAATTGATTTTTTTTTCTCCAATCTATCGACTGATACACAAGAATTCTCACGTCACGCCACTTACGATATGGTAGACTGCAAGCACCATAGTACCAGTGCGCACATTACAGCATAAACAACAGCTCGGTAGCCGTGGTACTTCTCTTAATGCTTGAGAGTAAGCTGGAGGAGGAGGAGGAAAACTACCAATCTTATCCATTTTGGCCGTTTTCTGATCTCGTTCTTCAAAGTAAAAAACGCTTCTTGCTTGCCGAATATTCTAGTCTTTGCTTATGTTTTTATGAAACCAAAAACGGCCGTGTTGGTATTTATGTGACTGTACTACAGTACAGTATGTACAGTACTGTACAGTGTACATGTACTGTAAGGGAAAAAGCTACAGTACAGTACTGTACAGTACTGTAGAGGCTTTGATCAAAATTCACCCAGGTACAGTACTGTACAGTACAGTAAAACTGTACTGTACACTGTACACTGTAGTTTACAGTACAGTACAGTACAGTACGCCTCGCACGTGATTCTTAGACTGTACTGTACACTGTACAGTACAGTATATTACTGTAATCATGTGACGAAACGTTCAAGTGACTCAACTAGACCATGGACTGCATCACTACGATGGACTACTAGGAAAAATACCTGAACTGGAAACTCTCCTCAGATAGACGGACTTTTCATAACAGACATGGCCGAAGATGTGGAAAATGCACTACTATACAGTATAGTACACTGAGTACAGTACAGTCGTACTTTATTTAGAAAAAAAATCAGTCCCTTCAGAATCGACTGTCAGCATACTAAAGCATTGTCATAATGAAGTGGTTGACACAAGTTCTTGATCAAATCAGGCCAGGCGTCTGTCCATCCAATGGAGTTTCCAGTCCAGGGATTTTTTCCTAATAGTCCATGTAGTACGAGACTCAACGCTGCTAGCGATCGCCATTACCGGTACACGGGTACAAACCATATTGTACAGTATAGAGTAGAGTGACTTGTTGGCAAAATAGCAGTATCCTCGACGGCCTACAGTCTATGCTGTACAATGTACAGTATGTTCACTACACTGTACTTTGTTCCGAAGTACTGTACTGTACTCTACTCTCCACTAACAGAGGGACATTAGTGTACAGTACTGTACAGTAAACTATTTTAGTTTAGTTTTTAGTTATTTTAGAAAAAAAATCAGTCCCTTCAGGATCGACTGTCAGCATACTAAAGCATTGTCATAATGAAGTGGTTGACCCAAGTTCTTGACCAAATCAGGCCAGACGTCTGTCCGTCCAATAGAGTTTCCAGTCCAGGGATTTTTTTCCTAATAGTCCATGTAGTACGAGACTCAACGCTGCTAGCGATCGCCATTACCGGTACACGGGTACAGACCATATTGTAGAGTATAGAGTAGAGTGACTTGTTGGCAAAATAGCAGTATCCTCGACGGCCTACAGTCTATGCTGTACAGTGTACAGTATGTTCACTACACTGTACTTTGTTCCAAAGTACTGTACTCGACTCTCCACTAACAGAGGGACATTTAGTGTACTGTACACTCAAGTGTACAGTAAACTATTTTAGTTTATTTGAACATCGCTTGATGTGCTCAGCGGGCTCTTCTACTTTACTATGTAGGTATGCAAGTAGTGTCGACACGTATTTCTTTCTAGTGGCCCGTGCAACATCCAGAAGTAGTATCAAGGAATAAGTTCATCTATTTTCTAGCCGCTTCTACTGTACGCTCTATGCCTTCAATTTGAGTTCAATACAGTACTACTGTACAGTGTACAGTAGTGTGTACTTACT